GCTTTGTCTCTCCAAGCATTGTCAGAAATGCTCAGAAGCTGGAGAGTACCCAAGTTTCCAGGCTGTATGTCGATTCTTAAACCTTGGCTCTGGATTCTGTTGCCTTTGGATTGCCGGTGCATTCATGTGGGCTATTATGTCTGGGTACTTTCTCTGCAGCTCCAAAAGCCTTCGCTGACGGTTATTCCAGTGAGTAGCTTCAGAAGCAGGCCACGCAAGGCTTGAGCTGGCAGTTATTTCCACTCCCCAAGGCAGCAGGGAGGGAAGCAACTAGGCTTGTAAACTGTTTATTTTTGAGGTCTGCTGCAGGAGTGTTCATGCTCTGCTGTGGATCCGAGCAGGCAGCTCGTAACAGATTTTAGGGAATGGGGAGGACAGGCACAACATGTGTGTACCTTTGAGGTCTCTGTCTCTGATAGCAGCCGGTTGAAGGAGAGCCTTAGATGAGGAACTCCACTGGGACTTCTCTGTTGCTTTATATATTTTTTTGCCCCTTTTCTTCCAGCTCGTCTCTGATTTAAGATTTTCTGTTTTCGGAAAGTCAGAGGGATACACTTGCTAAACATCTGATGTTTTGCTAGGGGAGAGACCGTAGCTCAGTGGTGGAGCATAAGGTCTGCATAAAGAACATCCAAAGCTCAGTCACAGACATCTCCATTTGCAAAACTAAAGCAGACCTTACTTGGCCTGATATCCCACAGAGTGGCTCTCAGTCCATGTAAACAATACTGGGGTAGAAGAACATCTATTTTGTTGGCCTAGCATAGGGAAGATGTCTGTGTTCATATGCTGCTTTTGCTAGGGGGAAAAAGGCATGGTTTGGGTTACACATGCTGTTCTCTGGAAAGCCAGTGAACTTCAGACTCTGCCAGGCTGTGCCCGCAAGCTCCCTGCACATAGAACACCAGCATGTCAGGTTTTCTCCTTGACTTGCTAGTTTTCTAAAGACAAGGAGATTTTATTGCATCCTTACCAAGTAGGGAGGGAACCTGTGGCCCTCCTGCTCTTATTGGACTACAACTCCCATCATCCCTGACCATTGGCCATGCAGGCTGGGGCTGAAGGAAGCTGGACTCTGTAGAGTCAACCCCAGTTTAAACATATGATTTCCTCCAGTGTGCTACTGCCCAGGAAAGGTCATATCCCATCAGTTGCCTGCATGTGTACATCAGCTCTGTCTGAGACAAAACTGAGGATTTTAATTTCAGACTTCCCCAGCTATCCCTGAAGCTGAAAAAGGCAATATTTCTTCAAAAAACAAAAAAACCTCTATCTTTTTCTCACCCCCACATTTTCCCTACTTCAAATTCAATTATGCTCATTTTCAGATCATCACGGAGCCTCCATTGCCGATTCTTAGCTGAACACCAAAGAAATTAGCAACAATGAGAGCTTCACTAGCAAAAATAGTTCTAATAATCTGGACAATTACTTAATTAGCTGCATTTATTTAGAAGCACAGTTCGGCAGGGAGAGGTGTTTCCACAGATTGGTTTGGGAAGAGAATTAATATTCTGCATTCTGTGCCATTTCCTGTAACCTCACACTGCGGGCCTTTTGCTCTGCAGCAGGAAAATGGACTGTTCTGATGCACAGACCCTCTTCTCACTGCCCCACTTCTTACATGGAGAAGGAAACGCAAGAGGAGGAGGAAGAGGAGATCTCAAAGAGAGTTACCCCCAAACTGAGCCTGGATAGCTCAGTTGGTTAGAGCAGTGTTCCCCAACCTTGGGTCTCCAGCTGTTTTTGGACTACAACGCCCATCATCCCTCGCTAGCAAGACCAGTGGTCAAGGATGATGGGAATTGTAGTCCGAAAACAGCTGGAGACCCAAGGTTGGGGAACACTGGGTTAGAGCATGGTGCTGATAACGCCAAGGTTGCAGGTTTGATCCCCATATGGGACAGCTGTATATTCTTGCATTGCAGGGGGTTGGACTAGATGATCCTCAGGCTCCCTTCCAACTACATGATTCTATGACCCCAAGGCATGTTTTGACAATTGCAGGAAAGGGCGAAAGTGTTCTTGTTTCAGGAGCAGTATAACAGAATAACACAAGAAGAGCTTGCTGATCAGGCCAATGGCCCATCTAGTTCACCATCCTGTTCTCACAGTGGCCAATCAGGTGCCTGCGAGAAACCCACAAGACGGACCCAAGCACAAGAGGATTCTTCCCCTCTGGCAGTTTCCGGCAACTGGTACTCAGGAACATTACTACCTCCAACCATGGACTTTGTAAAGCCAAGCCATTGTGGCTAGTAGCTGTCAATAGCCCTCTCCTCCATGAAATTGTCCAGTCCTCTTTTCAAGCCATCCAAGTTGATGTCCATTCATACCTTCTGTGAGAGGGAGTTCCATAGTTTTAACTATGTGTTGTATGAAGAAGTGCTTTCATTTACACAACTATCTAAGTCAGCAGTGGGGAACATGAGGCCCTGCACATGCTATTGACTCCAACTTTTATCAGCACCAGCCACCACGGCCAACAGGGATGATGGTTGTTGTAGTTCCGTAAGAACTGCAGGGCCTCCGTCTCATAGTCACTCTCTGTGTACATTTTTAGGTCTCCTCTCCCTTAGCTCTTTGGTCTCCTTTCCCTCAACTCCTTTCTCAGTGGCCTCGGTCCAGGAGGTTTTAAGGTGAGCTCCATCTTGCATGTGTTCCTCTGAACGTTCAGCATTTCAGAAGAGTTTCTGCTCCCATGCAGCTGCTAATGGAGATCACAATGGGGATCAGGGTCTTATGTGAATTCTCCCTGTGGAATTTTCCCCCTAGAGAGCCCTCTTGGTGAGCTCACTGGGAAGCAATGTTTAGGAAGGCTTCTAGTAAGTTAGATGGCTACATTGTACGCAGAACCCATAAAGAACAGTTTGCTTGCCTTGCTCAGATTGAACTTCATTTACCACCTCCTGGTTTTCTTGTTCAGGTCTTGCACAAGGTTTGTGACATGCAGGAGAGTGTGGCGAAAGAAGGGCCCTGTTTAGCTCCAGAATTCATAGGAGCAAGCTGTCAGCTACCTAGGAGCTGTCCTTGGTCCTGACGTTTGTCCTTCCTGCTTGCAAATCTTACTTTGAACCTTGTTCTAAGAACATAGGATGCACCCTACTGGATTAGACCATAAGACCATCTAGTGGTGTTCCTGCATCCGGCGGGCATCCTGTTCTTCCAACGGCCAGCCAGATGACAGAAACTCTACAAGCAGGACATGAAAACATCTCCCTGCTCACTGGATGGGCTATTCTCATGGACATCAATTGCCCTCTGTTTCCTGGTCACCTGTTTGGTGAATTCAGCCTGTCCCCCCATGACTTCTGATTCACCAGGATCAGACAAATATATATGATCAGTGTGAAATTATATAATTCTATAGCAGGCAGTAGTAATGCTGACAAGATTCCCTGCATTGTCCATTCAGTTACTGAAGGATTGGCTCTGATTCCACATTGACTCCTGGCTGATAGAAACTTGCGGATCCCTGTGGAGATAGCTACATAATTTGCTAGCACTGAGTAAGGTACCCAACACTGCAGAATTGGCAGTGATGGTGGAGGAAGGGGAGAGAACCAGCCCAAAGGTCACCTCTACATCTCTTTCTGCATTCTTGGAGAAGTCACTCTCCGCCCTTGGTTTTATGCTTCATCTGCCATTCTTCCCAGGGGGGTAAATCTTGTGTCTTCCAATACTTTGCGATAAGTATTCTTGCTGCTGTTATAGCATACATAAAGAAAGTTCTATCCTTCTTCATCACCAATTGGCTGACCATGCCCAGGAGAAAGGCCTCTGGTTTCTTCAGGAAGGTATATTTAAATATCTTTTTCATTTCATTATAGATCATCTCCCAGAATGTCTTAATCCTTGGGCACGTCCACCAAAGGTGAAAGAATGTACCTTCAGTCTCATTACATTTCCAACATTTATTATCAGGCAGATGGTAAATTTTTGCAAGCTTGACTGGTGTCACGTACCACCTATAAATCATTTTCATTAAATTCTCTCTTAAGACATTACATGCCGTAAACTTCATACCTGCCATCATGATGTTGTGTCCAACATCTTGTGCCCATTTAATCATAGCTGATTTCACCGTTTCATCCTGAGTGTTCCATTTCAACAGCAAGTTATACATTCTTGATAAATTCTTAATTTTGGGGTCTAACAATTCTGTTTCCAATTTTGATTTTTCCACCTGGAAGCCAAGTTTTTTATCCAAATTATATGCCTCCATTATAATGGCAATGTTGCCCACCTGAGAGATGCTGGAGGACGTCACATTGGACATGCAGTAGCTCTCCTTCCAAACTCACATTACTTTTAGGGGGGTGGTATCCTTTCCTGCCTCTCTCCACCTATACCTCTGGTTGGCATTCGATCTCTCAGCCTGAAGCACTTAAATACCTGAGCAGGATCTCTGTGTGTGTGTGTGTGTGTGTGTGTGTGTGTGTGTGTACATGTTTGTGTGTGTCCCAACAAGTAGCCGCTGTGCTCGAGAAACATATTATCTGCCTGACCTGGTTCCAGCCAGGTGTGAAAAGATTCACTGGTGCTGGCACCGTTCCACTTCTTTAAAAACCCAGGTGGAGAGGCAAGCAGGCTCACTGGCCATTCACTTAATTCAAGCCCATCGAGGACCAAGAAGGGGAGGAAAATCGGAGAAAGAAATAGGTATCACTGGAGAGGGAGAACTGAACAGGAATCCTGTTAAGGGGTTAAAAAGCTCTGTGGATTAAAAGGTATTTGCAGGGCATTCTGTGCCGCTGAGAAGGAAAGGTTGTATTCTGCATTGATCCACCTCCCTGAAGTTCTGAACACGTCCAGCAGGGAGTGGAAAACTCAGGACCAAGGGCTGAATGTGGCCACCAGACCTCTATCATTACTCTCCCAAGACACCCCCCCCCTCCCCAGACCACGCCCTCTTGCTTTTGGGCTGAAACCCCAGAGAGCCAATGTAGACAACACTGAGCTAGTGGAAGACTGTGTAAGAAAGCTTCCTGTGTTCCTATGACTGGGATAGCTCAGTCAGTAGAGCATGAGACTCTTAATCTCAGGGTTGAGGGTTCAACAGGGGCAGAGCAACGGGGGTGCGATGGGGGCGCCCCGCCCCGGGCACCATTTTGGGAAAGGGTGCCATTGTAGCCACCCCGCCGGTGCGCCCCTGTTCCCCGGAAATCCTGTTCCTCGCAGCAAGCCTCCCTAACGATAGCTCAGCAGGATGGTGGGACCCTGTCCAAAAAAAGCTTAATAACTTTGGGGGATCCTAAGGTCCACTATCGCTGTGGGTTAAACCACAGAGCCTAGGACTTGCTGATCAGAAGGTCGGCGGTTTGAATCCCCGCGACGGGGTGAGCTCCCGTTGCTCGGTCCCTGCTCCTGCCAACCTAGCAGTTCAAAAGCACGTCAAAGTGCAAGTAGATAAATAGGTACCGCTCTGGCGGGAAGGTAAACGGCGTTTCCGTGTGCTGCTCTGGTTCTCCAGAAGTGGCTTAGTCATGCTGGCCACATGACCCGGAAGCTGTACACCGGCTCCCTCGGCCAGTAAAGCGAGATGAGCGCCACAACTCCAGAGTCGGCCACAACTGGACCTAATGGTCAGGGGTCCCTTTACCTTTACCTTTTAAGGTCCACTATCTGACTGTTGGCTCAGGACTCTGAACTGTGTTTTTATAATCAACTTTTATTTTGTTCTGTGTATATTGTAATGTTCTCTTGTTGCTATGGCCAGTGGCTGAGGTGAATGAAGTTGCTTCTTAGGGGAACATCTTTGGGGGACCCTTCGCAAAAAATTGAAATCTGTGGGGGTGGCAAAAAAATGTCTGCACTGGGTACCACCTGACCTTGCTATGCCTCTGGGGTTCAAGCCCCGTGTTGGGCAAAAAGGTCCTGCATTGCAGGGGTTTGGGACCCTCGTGGTCCCTTCCAACTTGACAGTTCTATGATTCTATGACAGAGATGATAATAATAATAATAATATTTTTTTTTAAATGATATTTATTCCAAATTTAGAGTTACAAAAAAGAAAAAGAAAAACCATACAAAATACAAAGAAAACTTTAGCCATAACAGAGCAAAAAATAAACAAGTAAAAAGAGCAATAAGATAGAATAAAAAAGAAAACTTAACAAAAAATATAAAAATACATTCAGTTGAAATAAAACAAAAGCAGATTAAACCTTTACATAACCTTTTCCCTTTACTTATTTCCATGACCTCCTCTCACCTCCCAATTTTGTATTCTAGTTCAGATCGTGTTTCCAGCAAATCCTTCTAACCTTATTTTCATTTACGTATTTTAAAATTAAAATAGGACTTCCGGGGTGGCGCCTCCGGAAAATGGCGGAATTCCCTTCGGACTGAAGGGAACCCGCTGCACGGAGGCTTGGGTCCTGCCGCTACGGCGCAGCGGGGACCCGCAAAAACCACAGGCGGAAGAAGCCTGTGGACGTGGGACTCGGCGGGCACCGAGAGCGCTCTCTCCCCTTGTACAGGAGCCCGTTACCGGGCTCCGGAGTGGGAGGTGCGTGGTGCTGTGAGTCGTCTGCTTCCTCCGTGCAGCAAAGCCGCACTGCCGTTATCGGAGAGCGCTGCCTTGTCCTGGACAATTTGGCATCTAAAACATCTATCCGTGAGTACCTGATCTTAGAAGAGCTGAACCACTTTTAAGACTGGTGAATAAACAAATAATATTGGACTTGAAATTGAACTTAATTGGGACTCGGAATGGGAAGGTCTAAACAGGAAGTCGCCTTCCGTTCTTTTGTTATGTGAAGAAAGCAAAGACAAAATATACTAAAGCCTGAAAATTAAATTTTAAGAGAACTAGAATTCAACATCTAAGATTTCTGAACCCCCTTTGACAGCAGGAGAAAAAGGGGTTGTATTTGGACTTTTCAATCCTGCGGAAGTGAGTTTAAAATAAAGCAATTTTCCACCGCCCTGAACCAGGAGCGGGCTGTCAGAATTGACGTTCTGAAGTTTATCCAGCTCGACAGTTAGTTAAAAGAAGGGTAACATTTTGATTCTACTGTTGCCTCTTGAATTTGGAAGGGGAATTTTGGATAAAGTGTTTCTGGAAAAGAAAGATTGTTGCTGTTGCTTTTATTCCTTTAAAAAAAAAAAAATTCCATCTAGTGGAATTTAGTGAAATTACAACGCAGAGAGATTAAAAGAGAAGGACTATTGGACTATTCTCGTGGGAAAGAATTTTCTTTGACCTTGAAGGACAATGCTAGTACAAAGGCTTGAACAATTGTTCCTGGAAGGTTTTTCAAAACTAAGTGCCCAGCTGGACCAGATGTGTCAGGAGACGACCTTGAGGATGGAAGTTACCAGAGCACAGCAGCAAACAAATGAAATTCAGTTAAAGGCTATACAAGCATATGAACCTGCTGTAGTGACGGAGGCTTCAGAGATGGAGGGACCTTTGGACGGGCAAGATCAGCCTTTGAACTTGATAAATGAACTTGGGACAAACCAGATTCGGAAAGATGAAATGTGGTCAGATTTGGAAATGGGGGATGGATCGACCCCCTCCATATGGTTATTTGGACCTTCCGAGTCTGGTGATGGGCTATCAGAGGATTGGAGTAGCCGAAGTCTCCAAGCTTTGTGGAAATTTGAAGTGGTATTATTTGCTGTCTGGCTTGGGCAATGGGTTTGGGATGGACTTGTTGCAAAGGGTCAAAAGCATTTTCTTGCTGGAGCATCCACGACTGGAAAGGAATCATCAACAAGAGTGGCGAAAGGGGCAAGAAAGAGACTTGAGGGCCTCGGATACGAGACAACCAGGTTAAGGAGCCGGATTACCGAGGTTAAAAGGACTGACAATCCCGGGTCCAGGGGAGGGAGGTTGGAAGCTGACTGGACTGAATTTGACTTATTATTTTTTCTTTTTACTTTTTAATATTGGGAATGCTTACAAATGTTTGAAGGATGTTGAATGAAATTACATGACTTAAGTAAGGATTGGTAAATGATTCGTAAAAGGTAATGATGCAAGAATTTGGTAAATATTGAATATAAGCTATGAGTTTTAAAGTTTTTATATGACAAGAGGGAAAATAGAATAAGGAAACGTAATGACAGATTGTTATGAAAAAACAGAAAGGATTTGCTGTAAAAATTAAAAATTAAGAAACAAAAGAGGGGAGGAGGAGGAAGTCTAGAAAGGAAGTCAATAGAGATTGTAAAGGACTTTATATTTTTGTTTTTCTGTTTCTCTTTTTTTTTCTTTGCGGCTGGGTTTTTTTTTCTTTTTTGTTTATGCACTAATTTTGTTTTTTGTATCCTTAAATTTTTTTTTTTTTTTTTTGGAAATTTTTGTTGTTATTTTTTGAAAATTCAATAAATATCAATTATAAAAAAATAAAAAAAAATTAAAATAATGTAATTAAACCTCCTCTATTTCATCAATTTCATCAACTCATTTTTGCTTATTCCATTATATCATATCTACCAGAACGACCTAATATTCTTTTTCCAACCTCCTTCTAACATTCTTTTATATTGCAATACTTTTGAATATTTTGAATTTTTTCCAATCTTCTTCCATCGACCCTTCTCCGTGGTCTCGAATTCTGCCGGTCATCTCAGCCAGTTCCATGTAGTCCATCACTTTCATCTGCCATTCTTCTCGGGTGGGCAATTCTTGTGTCTTCCAGTACTTCCCGATGAGTATTCTTGCTGCTGTTATAGCATACATAAAGAAAGTTCTATCCTCCCTTCGCACCAACTGGCCGACCATGCCCAGAAGAAAGGCCTCTGGTTTCTTCAGAAAGGTATATTTAAATACCTTTTTCAGTTCATTATATATCATTTCCCAGAAAGCCTTAATCCTTGGGCATGTCCACCAAAGGTGAAAAATGTACCCTCCGTCTCTTTACATTTCCAACATTTACTATCTGGCAAATGATAGATTTTTGCTAGCTTGACTGGGGTTAAGTACCACCTGTAAATCATTTTCATTATATTTTCTCTTAAGGCATTACAAGCCGTAAATTTCATACCTGTGGTCCATAACTGTTCCCAGTCAGCAAACATAATGTTATGTCCAAAATCTTGTGCCCATTTAATCATAACAGATTTGACCGTTTCATCCTGTGTATTCCATTTCAACAGCAAGTTATACATTCTTGATAAATTCTTAGTTTTAGGATCTAACAATTCTGTTTCCAATTTTGATTTTTCCTCCTGGAAACCAATCTTCTTATCTAAATTATAAGCCTCCCTTATTTGATAATAATGAAGCCAGTCTCGAACTTTAGTTTTTAACTTGTCAAAGCTCTGCAGTTTTAGTCTATCTCCATCTTGTTCTAAAATTTCACAGTATTTTGGCCAATTTGTCTCCATATTAGTTTTTTTCAGAGCCTTAGCCTCCATTGGTGACAACCACCTTGGTGTTTTACTTTCCAACAAATCCTTATATCTCACCCAGACATTAAACAATGCTTTGCTGACAATATGGTTCTTAAAGGCCTTATGTGCTTTAACCTTGTCATACCATAAGTATGCATGCCATCCAAAAACATTGTTAAAACCTTCTAAGTCCAAAATGTCCATGTTTTCAAGAAGCAGCCACTCTTTCAGCCAGCAAAATGCGGCTGATTCATAATAAAGTTTAAGATCTGGCAGGGCAAATCCACCTCTTTCTTTAGCATCAGTTAAAATCTTAAATTTTATTCTTGGCTTCTTGCCCTGCCAGACAAATCTCGAAATATCTCTCTGCCATTTCTTGAAACAGTCCATCTTGTCCAAAATCTGCAATGTTTGAAACAAAAACAACATCCTAGGCAATACATTCATCTTTATCACAGCAATTCGGCCCAACAATGATAACTTCAATTTTGACCATATTTCCAAATCCTTTTTCACTTCCATCCAACATTTTTCATAATTATCTTTAAATAAATTCACATTTTTAGCAGTCATAGATAATAATAATAATAGTAATACAGTGGTACCTCGGGTTACATACGCTTCAGGTTACATACGCTTCAGGTTACAGACTCCACTAACCCAGAAATACTGCTTCAGGTTAAGAACTTTGCTTCAGGACAAGAACAGAAATCGGGCTCCGGTGGCACAGCAGCGGTAGGCCCCATTAGCTAAAGTGG